CAATCTGTGAAAAGGATTACATGATTGATCCTCCGATCGTGGGCTTCAGAAAGTCGATCGTACATTGTTGGTGAACTTTCTTACTTTTCATCTCTTCAATTCTTGACGTGAATTTCATAGAAATATCTTATCGTTTTGTGCCAAGAAGTTTTATGCGATTATACTTTTTTGACAAATTCTTCTAAAATCGTTGAACTTCGTAAATATCATCTATAATCTTTTACTGTGCGGTTTATAGCAGCTAGCCTTCTCCAACGAAAAATAAAAGTGTGGTATTTTTTACACAAACTTTTTACATTGTCTTCAAATGGAGAACTGGAAAAAGAAAGAAGTAAAAATTACAGAGCACTTTTAAGAGAAAAGAAAATCAATACGAGAAACGTGCTCGTTGACTAGTCATGCGTGTAATTTGAGAATTATTATCGATACAATTATCTCAGAATAATATATATAAATCTTTGTATATTTTATATTCTAAATTAGAAATTTTCAAGAATATTTTTATTTATATTTGTTTATATGTATCCCTTTATAGTATTCAGAATGCATTTTCACGAGCTTATTTTTCATATTCTTGATGTACTTTCAGCTCATGCATAACCTGTCTTATGTGCGAAAAAGATTCAAGTCTGAAAAATACTTGCGCAGAGATGAGAATAAGATTCTCTTGTGTCACGAGTGTGCTCAAGGATGTATATGTGTGTGTATGTATATGTGTGTAACACTTGCGAGTGAAGCCGCTGTCTATATATCATCATAGACTGGAAAGATTGTATAAGAGTATACGTCTTTGTTGATTCCGTCGAGTTTCAGTAGAATCTAATATACAACCCATTATAAATAATTGAATCACACATAGAACTTACATAGTTATTTACAATTATTATATACACTTGCATGGCGGCATCTCTCTCTTTCTCTCACTCTCTCGCTCCGACTATATTCAATTGCCTTATATTCTAAAGTCCACTTTCGACGACCGATAATTCGTGATAGTTTTGGAACAAGATTTTAATACATAATTTGATACATCTCGTGTAACACACGAAACACATTTGCAGAATTACGTCTGTAAAATTAGATCATGTTCTATTTTCGTATGAACCGAAAGCGCGTGCCAGGTATGCGTAGTAAACTGACAGATTTAATAAGATTGCGATCCACGATTCAAAACTTCAGTTATATATACGCTGTTTATGATAGCAATGACATAACGAGCCTTTATTAGATTACTGTATATACATGCACGTAATCTGTAATAATAATAAACCTCGATGATTGAAGATAAAAAGACAGAGAGAGAAATCGATTTAATTTGTATATTATAATTGAAAATTTTTTATACACGTAATTGTAAGTTGAACCGCGATGTAACGTAATATTTCTTCTCAATCTGTTTCACTTATATTAATTAATTTAGCGTATAAAAAGTTGTAAAGAGAGAAAGAATTCTATACAGATTTATAGATTGTCTAAAATTTCATTGCATGTAATACACACACGTACAAATGAGCGGTAACGATTCCAAAAGATATGATAATTCGTTTGATATATGTTAAATAATTTCACTAAATGAAATTCTCATATTCTATTTTTAATGCGTAACAGACGCAAGTTGCTTGGACACATCTTTGGAACCGAAAACGAACGATGAAGATTTATCGGATCGTTAGGTTTTATGGATTCATTAGAAGCGGCGTTCGCATTACGTTAAACGATCATTAGCGAATCGCGACCGAGTTCCTTGTATCAATAATTGCTATTCGTAAATCGAGCGATTAGTGATGGTAATTTATTTATAAAGCTGAAGCTCGATCAAATTTCTTTCCTTCTAAAGGAAAGAAATTTAACTCAATTACTGACATTTAAATAATAATACTGTAATGAAGCTCTTTTTTTGTAAAAAATAGATGGACTAAAAGAAATCGAAGAGAATTTAATAGTGAAGTCGATCATCTTATTTTTATAATTATTCTATATTTAATATATATCTTAATTTTCAAAGAAGTTGAAAATTATATATACAGGGTGTTCCAAATTAGATCAATGAAATTTCAGGGTCTTATAGGAAAGTGAATTTGGAACAAAAAAGTTCCTATAAACATAGGTCCGTAAACGCTTCGTTAAAAAGTTATAATTAATAAATTCTCTGTGAGTAATTAGTTATGATCAAAATTTGATAAGAACATTTTTATGTTTGCATTTACAATGTTTGCACTACGAATATAGTGTTTACACAAAGACCATCGGAAGATGGTTTTTTCAAGTTTCTGCTTTTTTCGTCGTTTTGAGCTTATTTTCTTTTGAACCCCTTATCAGAAATAAATGAACTTGGTGTAATTTAGGGTTTGTTATTTAATTACCCATCAGATTTATTTCGTTCCTTTTTTTAAATGAAGGGTTTTGAAGTTATTTTTAAAAATCATCAAAAAACGTGATTTTTCGAAGTTTAGCTATAACTTTTTAACGAAGCGTGTCCGAACCTATGTTTATGGGAACTTTTTTGTTTTCTAAATTTAATTTCCTATAAGATATTTTCTATAAGAGTCAGAAATTTCATTGACCTGATCTGAAACACCCTGTATAATTTAATAAACATTCGACAAAAATTAAATAAATAATACCCGAAAGTTACACGCTAGCTCTCAGCTTTGCTAAAGTCTTTGATAAAGTCTTGTCAATATCCTTTTTTTCTAATCCATCTATACATTACATTTACAAATGTGTTTATGTTACAAATGCAAAGTATAAGTCAGCTAAAATTCAGGGTATGCATAATAATCGCGTTCGGGACGTCCGTCGAGGCGCGGGTCGTCTTGTATACATTAGCGTGCGCTGCGCATTATTACGGTAATTGAAAGGAGAAATGCGAATCGCGCTGATTTGAATATTCCCGTTTACGCAACACATACACGCCGCATACTCGACGTCATGAGCCACGAAGAGAGACGACGCGTTCGTGCGTGAAAACGCCAACTGACCTATGGCATTATTCGCTTGCGTCTCTCACCCCGATGATGCGCATCGCTCGTATAAATGCGATGGTATAATATATCTAAAGACCTATATAATTTATAATTTTACGGCAATTTTGTACGGGATAAACACATACATATACACGTGAGGCGTCTCGAATGTCGAGTATGGAGCTGGACGTTCGTGGTTAATGAATTATTAATTTGCGCTCCGCTTTTTTTAACGATTACACCCCACGCCAATACCGACGAAACTCGAATGTGCGTTTACCTGCGGTGACCTTAACACGTGGTTGTTTCCACGCATCGCTCTGATTATTGCGATGGATCGACGGCAACAGTCTGGCTTTTTTTTTTTTTATAAATATATATCGTTCTCTTTTTGATTATATGTTCATTGTCATAGCAAAAAATACTGAATACACAATACTGAATATACATTTTTTATTGTAATTCTTACAATTAATGATAGAAAATGAAAATGTTATGCAAATGAAAAATGCTTATCTTACAAAAGTCATTCAGTTGTTTACAGTACATTTCTAAATTTAATATTTTAAATTTAGGTGGTTTATTTTTCCTTTGTATAAGTGAAAAATATTAGAAAACGCACACAAAAAAGAAACTTATTTTAAAAAGTTCCATCTTTTTTTTTTTTTTTTTTTAATTAATAGTAAATATATTCTATATTATATACAGAGTGTCTACTCCCTGAAAAAACCTGGAATTCTCAGGGATTTCGTTTTTACTTTGAAAGATTAGGGAATTCTCATGGAATTTTATTCGAACTCGAGGAATTTTTTCAATAATTCTCTCTTTGATCATTTTGTTCTTACATTGCAAGCATCGGCAATCTAATTGGCCAACAATTATGACTTATATGTTTAAAATATATTATAAATATATATCGTTCTCTTTTTGATTATATGTTCATTGTCATAGCAAAAAATACTGAATACACAATACTGAATATACATTTTTTATTGTAATTCTTACAATTAATGATAGAAAATGAAAATGTTATGCAAATGAAAAATGCTTATCTTACAAAAGTCATTCAGTTGTTTACAGTACATTTCTAAATTTAATATTTTAAATTTAGGTGGTTTATTTTTCCTTTGTATAAGTGAAAAATATTAGAAAACGCACACAAAAAAGAAACTTATTTTAAAAAGTTCCATCTAAAAATTCTCTGATTTTACCTGGAATTTTGAACAAATTATCTAAAAAATCAAAGAATTCTCAGGGAATTTTTTTACAAACTTTGGATAGACACCCTGTATATAATATAAAAATATATTTATATATGTATATCAAATTCAGAGAGATATTTGAAATATAGCATAGAATAGACGATTTTAAGAATGTATAGTGCTGGTAGCTGTTGATTTATTGTCCGCTCGATGCTGCCAAGATGAATTTTTATATTATTTATCACGTCGATCGATAACCAATTCTCGTAAGAGTATACACATATCATCTTTATGAATTAATTTTATTTTAATTAGGACTGACAATGAGAAATTTTTCGGTTTTCGTATGTAGTTAATATTTCAAGATCGAGAAAAGCTAATTAGACTAGAACGAATTGAATTAATTATATTAATATATGCCAAATGTAATTACCGTAATCTTTTATACTATATATCTTATATGATAGTATCTCGTGATTGTGATTTCCACGACACGCAGCGTGATACTGAATTTAGATTAAATAATAATAATATGCAAACGCCCACATTGACGTGAGTTATAATTAATTTGAACATGCTAATGTAAAAAAAAACATTGCGTTGCCTTAATATGTGCAAAAATCATTATATAAAGATAAATTTCACCGCGAATAAACCACACTTCACTTTAATTATTTCACAATGGTGATTTTCACTCTTAATTATTTATCTTTCAGAAACTACTGATATCAAATGATTGCGTGTCGACGTTATAATTAAAAATTTGCCGCTATATTTATTATATTTAGGAGACTTACACTCTTATCTGAGATTTTATCTCGTTTATCTGCAGGAACAAGCTCACGATGCCAAGCAACAGATCGCGACGAGTCCGGAGGATACGGAGGACATGCCCGCGGGCCAACAGGGCCCGCAGGTGCCGCGGCGACGAGGTGGAATCTCGGCGGAGCCGGTCTCCGAAGAGGATGCTACCAGTTACGTCAAGAAAGTCGTACCTAAAGACTATAAAACTATGGCTGCTCTAAGTAAGGCTATCGCCAAGAACGTGCTTTTCGCGCACCTGGACGAAAACGAGCGCTCCGATATATTCGACGCGATGTTCCCCGTGACCTTCCTGCCCGGCGAGGCGATTATTCGTCAAGGTACATGCTGCTGATCGAGCACCTGCTTGTGTATACTTCTATTTTGTGTCGGCTTACCATTGACTTATAGAATAAATGAGCGGTATGTGTCTTTCAAGGCGACGAAGGTGACAACTTTTACGTGATCGATCAAGGGGAAGTTGAGATATTCGTTAATGGTGAACTGGCAACGACGATCGGCGAGGGTGGTAGCTTTGGCGAGCTCGCGTTAATCTACGGAACTCCACGTGCCGCCACAGTTAGAGCGAAAACCGATGTGAAGCTTTGGGGCATCGACAGAGACTCTTACCGCAGAATTCTCATGGGTTCTACTATAAGAAAACGAAAAATGTACGAGGAGTTTCTCTCAAGAGTTTCAATTTTAGGTGAGTTAACTTCATTCTTTCAGCATCTTCGTCTCCTAAAAATTATTATCCATTATTATGAATGAATTTCTATCAAAATTCTAAAGATGATTGAATTTTCTGACTTTGCACATAAAATTCTTCATTTCTTTAAAATAGCAAAGATTATTTTTTATGTTATTTGTAAGGGATATGAAATTACATAAAATGGAGATAAAATTTTCTTGTCAAAGAAAAGACTATTATTGATATTTTCTCTTTGCACAGAGTCATTGGATAAGTGGGAAAGGCTCACGGTAGCGGACGCTCTGGAGCCGGTAGCATTCGATGACGGCGAAACGATAGTCCGACAGGGTGAGCCGGGAGAGGACTTTTATATAATTGTTGAGGGAACTGCGGTGGTTCTTCAGCAACGCTCGGAAGGAGACGAACCCGCGGAGGTTGGCCGTTTAGGGCCATCCGATTATTTTGGTAAGATAAGGATCGGAGCAGATATCTGAGATAACATCGAGAATTGATTATAGGATGGAAAATTTAGCACATATACTATGGTCATTTCACAATAATAACTTAATATCGCTTAGAAAAATATCAACTGTCGGAATATTAATAATCTATAATGCATCCATATAATCAACTTTATGCAAAAAAAGCGAAACTCGATTCGTTCAATGACAGGAACTTTTTTTTCCGATATAGGGGAAATAGCACTGTTGCTGGACAGGCCACGAGCAGCGACCGTAGTTGCCAGGGGTCCGTTGAAATGCGTGAAACTGGATCGGGCACGGTTCGAGCGGGTCTTAGGCCCGTGCGCCGACATTCTGAAACGCAACATCACCCAGTATAACAGTTTCGTGTCCCTTTCCGTATAAACGGATCCTCCGTCTCTCCCTCCCTCCTCCCACCCTTCCATCCGATCATCGCAGTCAATCGGTTCGCGCTACCGATCATCACTAACCTTTCATTTCTACCAAGGACTGCATTATTTCACTGTACCGTATAGTTAACACTTTTTTTTATTTGATTAATATTTAAGTGAATTAATGTGTTATCGCGATCAGCTATCAATCAGATATGTACACAAAGATGGTATCGTTTTAGAGAGACGCTATTAATATATTTACACCGTAAGGCTATTTACACACTGTATAGCTCGCGACTCGACGCCGACGCGCACGTGAATTCATATTGGCGTTGATCTCTTCCGCGCGATCTGTTCCTACTTGTTACGTGCACGAGAAATTATTAATCCGTTAACGCCCAGAATTTTTTTTTATATGGCATTGAGAACTTGGTTTTCAAAAGAAAATTCGCGGTAAAACAACGGAGCCTTATATTATTAAAATATTATCGAATAACGATAGTATGTAATTAGATTGTTCAAATTGAAAAAACATACTCGATATTTTGTCAGAATGTGTCCCTTGATATCAGGTTACTCCGAGCGTTAACGGGTTAATTCACGGTTAATGACACGTTATGTGCGTCTTGAATATATTGTAGAGGTCTTTGAAAATTGTGAGATAAAATGTAACGACGTGATTTATAACCGTATTTCCCAATACGAGGCTACAATTTGCATCAAAGATGCAGACACGGTTTATGTTCGCATCATTACACGAATAGAATAAAATCACGTATCGAATTACGTTAAATTATTTGAAAAGTATTTACGATTTCTATTAGAAGCGTCAGAAGCGAACAATTGTATAAATTGCCCCCATTTTACATGTAATCAATAGAATGGACTAGTAAAAATATATCGAATTTTTTTTCTTTTTGAAATTCTATATTTATAAGTAATGTTTCTTTCTGCTAATTCTGAATCTTGAGCGAAAGCGAATTTTGCGACAATCGATTGAAATTCACAGCTTTTAATTTTAAGGGTCGAAAGGTCTTCAGTGAATTTTACAAGTCCACTCTGTTAAATACATAATATCGAGAATAATATATTCCTTCGATACATCACATCATAGACATAAGATGTCTATGCATCACATGTATGAGTCACATGTTCGCTTCCAATGTTGTAATGTAACGATATAGCTGCAGTGAGAGGAGCCGTAATATTATCTAATGATTAGAAGATAGACATTGAAAAAAATGACGTTTTCTCGTTTACTGTTTTATATATACTTTAAATGTTCTATGTTGTCTCTCTCTCTCTTCTCGTGTGAATTGTTAAATTATTTAACATTTAAATTATTTTATTGATCGATGGCGGTTATAATTAGCAACGACAGTGTGAATGTCGGTCGCGATATGCAATTGCTTTGACGCAATATGAAAGACTAAGATATTTATTATTAGCGAAGCGAAGTGAACAAAACGAGTCGCAATTTATGTCTCCTCTAAAAGTGCGCTAGGTTTATAGTACAATGCGACATAAATGAGGAGTATAACGTCAGAAAATTAAATAATTTATTATGCACAACATAGTATATCCAAAGTAAAATATTGTACAATGAATCATCCCCTTTCCGAATCCGTATAATAACGCGGCTGATGCATCTTCCATGCGCGCGAAAACGATAAATAAGAGCGTCTCGATCACTTGGCAAAGTCCAGCAAAGAAAAGATGACTCTAACGCGGAAAGGAGTCCATCGTTGTCTCACGCACGGCACATGGACACTAGTTAAAATATTAATTATGCAAATGAAATTAATTACAAAACTACCTACACTCGATTGGAGAATTAAAAATGACATGCCGCTTGTCGCGTGAGGCGTGCAGCAGGTCTCCCAGGTTTTCTGCCTTCGGTCTTCTGCCTTCATCCTTAACTTAGACATCGTCTTCTCGAATCGACATATTGTTCATCCACAAGTAATCATATTCGAAAGAATTGAGTCAAAAAAATGTTTTAGCAAACGATCCTGCCATTTTCTTTCCTTTTCCTTTCCGTCAGATCTATCGGTGTCCTCTTCTTTGATCTTGTTCGAAAAATGGCACTTATCGCGCGATCAGGAACACTGCTTCATCATTGATCGAAAAGAACGTCTCTCACGAACACAAATGGCATGAACATAGTCACCGCGGGGTGTTCTCCTTGAACGCGATTCGAGTCTTCAGATTTGTGAAATGGATTTCTTATCCACATTCTCTTTGAAACTCTCTTCTTTTCAAAGAAAGAGATGTTTGTATTGCGATTTGGCTGGGGCAGCTACAGGTTTTGTTCGTGCAGTAATACTTAAAAGAATACTTGGAAAATCGATCGAGCACTGTGGCAGTGAAGCGTGTGTGCTTGCGCATCACGCTAACGAATGATTGGAAAGGAGAGACCGATTCGTGTTTCTTATCAACGAATCGTTCCAAGCCGAGAACAAGCAAGAAAAAAATTGATTTTTTTTTTCTTTTGCGAAGACCGCAAATCCTATCATGTTGTAAACACGATTCTCGACATGTATTATAAAGAGATTTTTTTTTTTCATTTAATCTTTTTAGTGAGGTAGCGCCGGATTAATGGAAACACGCGATCCATCCGGATTTTGTACAATTTCCACGGGTCCCCGGCAAAGCGATCCACTTATATGTCCTCTTGTGATTATATACACGTGCGCGTGGAGGGGAAAACCGCGAACGAAGGAGCGTATACATATGTACAAATTCACAGTCGGAGCTGTAGTCGAAGTTCCAAGCTTTCGATTTTGTGCCCGACGATGATAAAACTGTGATGTGGGACGATGATTTGAAGATAGTTTGCGAAAGATAGAGCCAGCATACGTAGGGCTTCCAAGAGCGAGGAAAATGTACACATTGAGATACGTGTACCAGTGAAATGGAAGATATTTATGTAAATTTATAAAGAGATTTTTTTTTTTCATTTAATCTTTTTAGTGAGGTAGCGCCGGATTAATGGAAACACGCGATCCATCCGGATTTTGTACAATTTCCACGGGTCCCCGGCAAAGCGATCCACTTATATGTCCTCTTGTGATTATATACACGTGCGCGTGGAGGGGAAAACCGCGAACGAAGGAGCGTATACATATGTACAAATTCACAGTCGGAGCTGTAGTCGAAGTTCCAAGCTTTCGATTTTGTGCCCGACGATGATAAAACTGTGATGTGGGACGATGATTTGAAGATAGTTTGCGAAAGATAGAGCCAGCATACGTAGGGCTTCCAAGAGCGAGGAAAATGTACACATTGAGATACGTGTACCAGTGAAATGGAAGATATTTATGTAAATATATATATATATATATGCATATGCGTCACACAAGTGCACGTATGTCCGAAACATATGCATATACACATAATGCGACGCACACGTGAGATATTTATTATGCATGTATGCACACGTGTGTGTGTATGTATGTGTGGCCCTTTTCTTTCGCGTGCTAAGTTATCTTCCGCCATGAGAGATAAAGGTAGGAGAGTAGAGTTTGGCTTCTACCAACTACCTAGACTACCACTGCTTGCCTTGCAGTCGATTTGCTGACGAACGAGATCAGCGTAAACCAAGCCGAACTCACTGACAAATTCATAAAACTTGTCCAAAGACTCAAAGGCCAATTCCGCTACGACGAAATGAACCGCCAAATTTTGCCGGTAGCTAAACAGCAGAAGAAATGCAAACGTTAGACAATAGCTGCAAATGACAATGTTGTAGTGAATACATAGAACACAATTAAATATGCAATTATTAACTTTGGGCTACGATGTCCTGTAACAAAAATCTGCAATTATAATTCATGATCCACAATTCTCGATAGATATCACTGGTTAAAGCGTGGCACTAGAATTGCATTTAATGAAACGTTTCAAGATAAATCAATATTATTTTAAAAATATATATAAAAAGTATATTGATCAAACTTCAATATACTTTTTCAACTATACAAGATATTCCAGATCAGGTCAATGAAGCTTCAGGGTCTTATAGGAAATTAAATTTGAAACAAAAAAGTTCCAATAAGTATAGATCCGGAAACGTTTCGTTAAAAAATTATAGCTAATAAACTTCGAAAAATCACTTTTTTTGATGATTTTTAAAAATAACGTAAAAAATTCTTGATCCATTTGAGAAAAGTAACGAAATAAATCTCATGAATAATTAAATAACAAATTCTAAATTAATTCTGATAAGGCGTTTAAATGAAAATAAGAAGACTTAGAACAACGAAAAAAGCAGAAACTTGAAAAAAACCATCTTTCGATGAACTTTGTGTAAACACTATATCCGTAGTGCAAACATTGCAAATGCAAACAGAAAAATGTTGTTATTAAATTTTGATCATAACTAATTACTTACAGAGAGTTTATTAGCTATAACTTTTTAACGAAGCGTTTCCGGACTATGTTTATAGAAATTTTTTTGTTCCAAGTTCAATTTCCTATAAGACTCTGAAGTTTCATTGACCTGACCTGGAACACTCTGTATATCTTTCGATAAGTTATAATAACATCAAACAAGATTTATTTTAGAAAGCAAAAGCAAAAAACAAGAAAAAAATCATAAATTTGCATTTGTTGCAAAGAAAATAAAATAAAATAAACTATATTTTTCAAAAATATGTGTGAAAACAAGCTGTCATCTTGAAAATCGATTAAGAGATTGTACATTTTTTATGAAATGATAAAATCATACATTATAATTCTAACCTATTCTTCCAATTTTTTGTTCTAATTTTTGTTTTTAATTAAAAGAAAAATATTTAAAAAAAAGAAGTCCGCAAAAAAATAAAATTGAAAATTTAACTAAAATGAACAACATTTAATAGCAAAATTAAACTCAATAGTTAAAAATCAAATCATTTTGATAAATTGAACAAAGTGTACAACTCCCTTAAAAAATGACAATTTCCTAAAAATAATAGTTGCACTTAAACATATATTCAGAGAATTGTAATAATAAATATGTAATACGTACGACTTTATCATAAATTTCAATGCTTTCTTTCGTTCTCTCGCGACAAACCAATCCATCAAGAAGGCAGACATACACGGTGCCGTTCTATATAGCTTGAAGAAAGCATGAAAATTACCCAACCACCATGCCGAGCGTATTTTCAAAGCATGTTTTATACACTCGTCGTTTTTATCTTCTGCTGAAAGAGCTGCTAAAATCGTCGTTAAGTCTGAAATCAAAAATATTAGCGCATAATATTTTTATAACGGATAGTTTAATATATCGTGCGATTTAACTTCAGAAGGTATTGGAATTTTTCGTATTATTAATCTCGTTACTAACCTTGAGTATTCTTCGTAAAGATGTAATACAATATCCGATAAGCGATAAATTCGCATCGGTTTTCGCCACCGAGATCCTGATACAGCATTTTCAACTGCGTCTGACACTGATTAAATTCTTCGTGGTCGCCACGTTCTAAAGCTACACGGGCGTGAGTTTCGTATACATGAACTGTAAACGAGTCCCTGATACCTTGCACGGTAAGATCTTGTCGGATGGATTTCAGTTGATCGCAAGCATATCTGTAGTCCTGCTCGGCTAGCCAACGTTTCTTGACATGGGCCAAAGAATTTTGAAGTACACTTACCGGTCGAACTGCAGAAGGAGCAGGAGCCTGTAACGATATTATAATTTGGTCATGAAAATATGTAACTGCAAACTGCATTAAAATTCGATGTGCATAAATATAACACAATCAATTTTATCTAAACTTTCAAAACAAGGTACTTTATGTTATATTAATTGTAAAAATAATACAAATAATTTTAAATATCCACGTACCGATGTGAGACGCAAATAAGGCTTTTCTAGATCCTTGCACGTGCCAACGATATGGAGTCCGGTAAAGTCAAAGTCCGCATTTGGGTCGTCTCTAATAACGGTGCTGCTGACCACTGTCCTGGAAATGCCGTCGTTGAATCTGGCAGCACGCTGCTGCAGCTTCTCCTTGGTGCCTAGCTCGTCTGTATTGCCTGTAGCTAAACCAAATTCGGAATAGAAATGTGACTTAGCCTGCTTAGTCTTCTTGTTCTTCTTATTGCCGTGATTCGCCTTATTGTTGCTGCGCGCGGATTTTTTCATTTTGAGCGTCTTGTATTCGTGCTCTCGATCACTAATATTCGACGATGAGGATGTGCTACGCCTGTTGTATCTGCGTGACGGCGGACTACGTGTGCGCGACCGCGTCGACCTTGACCTCGATCTCGAGCGCGACCGCGAATGGGACCGCGACCTTGACTTAGATCTTGATCTTGATCTTGACCTAGATCTAGATCTCGACTTCGACCTAGTCCTCGACCGCCTGCTGTGTGTCACAGAGAGACGCGCGCCAAGCCGAGCCCCGAGCGAGCTGGAGAGACCGGGCTTGCGCAGGCCTCCCTGTTGACCATTGACCAGTGGGCTCGCCAGAGGATTCGCCAGCTTTAACGCCGGCTTCTGAGGCTTGATCGTCATAGTCATGCGTTCGCTGTGGATGCTGGGCAGGGGCTCCTTGTCCCAGTCCTTTACCCAGAGCGAGCCA